TATAAATCTCAAAAGAGATAAAAATCAACCACAGAAGTTCATTTACATTGAAGAAGAGGAGGGGGAAAAAAGAGATCTAAAAAGAAAAATTCAGGCTTGAAAAATATATACCAATTTAAGAAAGTACATTGGCACTGTGGCTATGCTGTCTGTCTGCTACAGAATTTCTTTCTTGCTAGTGCAGTATCCAAGCTATCTTCCACTGTATTGCAATAATAAAAGCCTCCACTATATTGCAATAATAAAAGCCATCAGAATTTAAAAATAAAAACGATTGCAGTAGTATCAATGTATCAATCACATAACCTACCCAAAGAGAATGGGCGGTAGGGTCAAAGCCCCTAATCTCATTTTCATACAAGCGCTCAGTGGCACCCAGCTCAGTGCAAAGAAGACCCTCATGCTAAAGGTCACCACGGTCACATCCAAATGACAAACCACATTTCTATGAATTAGCTGCAGCTATAGCTACAAGTATTCAGGATAACGTCTCTGAATTTTCTGTATCTCCATCACCCCAGAAAAACAAGAAGCTATACCATAAGCATCATCAGTTTATATGCACAGTCCATCATCTCCTTAACATTCTGTGAAAGAAAGTACGGTTTCGTCAAAGGGCTTCCCTCTGCCTACACACCCTAACAAGAAAAAAGTCTAGAGAGAGAAACAGAAATTTCTGGATCTTTGGATTTTTACCCATGCATTGATCAAAAGTTCACGCTAAAAATCAACGTCTGCCTCTCACGTTTCTGCTCTCAGCCTCTGCAAGGAGGAGATTTTATGTCGCCTGTGTTCAGGGAACAAGAGCTGCATGCTGTAAAATAATGTATTTTACCGCACAAGTGTGCAGGGAAAGGAGGAGATGAATGCCCTGTTCAGAGTTTGCATTACTATGTACCATGGAGATGGCTCCTGAGCCCCCGCTGCACCAGAGCTGCCTAGGGATGGAAGGGCTGCCAGGCTGAGGGAACAGCATGCTGCCTCTGAGCGGGGCCCTTAAAAAGTTTTACTGGTCTTCTAGGGGTTGACTAATGCCTTCTCTTCCCTTGGCTTCCCTTGGCTTCATAAAGATTTCTAGAGCATATCTGAGATTTGACCCTGAATATATGATGCTATTCTTGCTGTGTAATAAGCATCAGTGGTGTCAGGCGTATAGAGGCAAATCTGCTCTTTGTTAGAGCTACATGTCAAAATGAGTTTGTAAAACATGCTACAAAAAGGATGAAATGCTGCTTACAATGCAAAGCCCACTGAAATCTACATATTGCTGCAATATTTATTATCAGCCAGAGCATATTATTTGCGATTAATAAATTATTCTTAGTCCACATCATGGTAAAGCATAGCAACTGCCATAAAGCAGCACTGTCACATAAAGAAATTTCAGCGAAGTACCCTGCTTGAAATAATGACTTTGTTTATCTATAACTTTACATTATTGATTGGGTTTGCTGAACTGAAGAAGGACTATGAAGTCATTCCAAAAGAACTACTGAGAAGTCTGGAAGCTCAGCCAATATAAAGCTAGCAGCAAGAACGCAATTTCCCTGAGAAAAAACAGTCATACTTAGTTATGTCACAAATATGCAAGCAAATTACATTCTGTTTAAGTAAGTAAGAACTAATGCCAAACATGTGGCTTGTAGTGTCCGATTGTCACAATTTTTATTGGTAAGAACTTTTTTCTTGTAAAACTATAGTGGATGTGAAACAAAGCAGAAACGCAAGCTTCCAGTTTTAGAGGACATGAAAAGCAAAGCTTTCATATAGGCATTCCAAACTGTCCCATGACCCAGCCACATTAGGGTAATTTCCAAGACAGCAAGCTTAAAAATGGCTGTATTAAAACAACAGTTCCTCCCCAAACACTGACTAGTTGATTTCCTTCAGGTTAAAACCTTGGCATTGCTAACCCCACCTGGCAAGGTTTAGATCCAAGGGAAGATGCCGGAGCACGCAGTATCGTCCTGTCACTCCCAGCTTCAGGCATGCTGATTCCCCAGTCAGGTGCTGTGGATTGCCTTACCCTCACCTCAAACCAGAGATCTGCAGTGCTGACATGTGCGTCCCAGGCAGCTGTCTGCACTGCCTGCAGTCTGTGGAGAGGAACAGGTACTCATGGGCTTGAGTGTCCCTCTCTCTCTCCCTAAATTAGATAGCTAGAATAGGTCAAAAGTATTACTGCTTGGACATGACAACTGCTACCTGGTCCATATGCAGGGTGGTGAGATAACTAGCTTGGATGCAGATACCTACGTTGCAGATGTCTAACTAGGCAAGACAAATCCTGAACCCCACAAGACAGCACAGAGGGAAAGCCGGGAGCCTCATCAAGGCAGTATTCCACAGCCCCACACATTGTGTGAGGGGCTGCACAGGACCAACCCAAAGCAAATACCCACCACAGGGTATCTGAAATCCCTTTACTACTGGAGAATAGGTGGCAATAGGCAAGTATCTATACGTACCTATCTATACATTTATAATCCTTATGCAGGATAATTTAAAACATGTCTGAAAACCAACCAGGAAAAGGTCAAGTGTTGTCTTGCACCTGCCATCAGCATCTACAAACTAGGCTTGGTATTTTGTTCAACAAAGACAAGACAGCACAACAGCAATCCGGTACTGCAGGAGAGGATGCTGCCATCCGTTTGGAGGCTCCATGCTGTACTTCCCTGTAGTGGGAAGAGTCACAAGAGAAGACTCTCTCTCAGCAAGAAGCTATTTTTTGTTGTTAACTGTGTAACTCTCCACAGGAAAGAGCTTACAAGCTCACTTAAGAAAGAACACACTCTGTGGGACAGTATTCTAGACTCTGAGGTCCAGCCTAGCTCACTTAGGCACTCAGCTTAGACCTACACTTTACTGCCTACTGAAGCAGTCTTTCTATGCGTGCTCCTGCGCTGCCCAGTTATTCAGCAGAACAGTAGGTGCCTTTCCACGTCCTCAGAGGAAATTCCAGTCTGCTAAGTTTAGACGCTGAAATTGAGCACACAGGATCTCCCTTTGGAAGGCTTCAAAGGCACTTTCCGCTCTGCAACAAGGGTATGTAGAATGCGGGCTTTTATTTTTGGTGGACTGCTTTGCTAAATGTCTAATATTAAGGTACACATTAGATGCCAAAATTATACAGAATAGAGCCTGCCTGTAAGGCACTATATTATAGACCAAGAAAGAAATGGATTGAGTGGAGTCAGTGTAACATGCTAATGTCTCTTTTCAGCTCAGCAGCTGTATGTGTGGTGTCTGTGGCTGAAATTGAAGTAAAGATGACGACAAATTGCAGATCACAGTCAAATTAGATTTCCCTAATGGGGCTTTTGAAATAAACTAACAGATTACTGTTTAAATAAAACCTGTAACAAGGATGAGTTGATGTAATATTATTAAATTTCTTAATTTAATTCTTAAGCTCCAGAGCCAGACGAGTACTATTCAACACATTTACCTTCACAAACTGTGGAATGCATTGCGGAAAAGCTAAAAAACCTTTTCATGGTTTGACCAATTCTCTAAACGTTCAAGCAATATCAATCACAGAGAACAGTATCTGCCTGCCAGTCACATATATTAGAAGCATTTGCTAGCGTTCCGTGCTTCCTCTTTTCATTAATTAGACAGAACTATTTAGTGCAAAATCATGACGGGTTGTTTTATTTTTCTGGCTTATTATGTGTGCTATAAACTGAGAAGAAAATACTTAGCACTTCAGGGTCTGGTGTTGTAACTAGCGAATTCAAAATATGTGTGAGGCCTGTCAATCAAGCAATACTGTCACTGGTAAAGGAATCTCTCCTTCCTTTATCACTGTCAGAAGGGGAGCATGCTAATTACAGTGAGAGCCAAAGCCTTGCCTTGCCCATAGAGACCGCCCTCTCTGCTTAAGGGAATATAGCTTTGAGGATCACAGTTACTGTGCTTGACTAGAAGATGAATTAGCAGATGTCTGATCAAAACACAAAAAAAGTAGTTCCCCCTGAAACACGGCTCAGCTTCCTTTCAGCATCAGAAAATCGCTTTGGAAACATCAGCGCTTTTGGCTACTGATGGTCAGGAAAACATAACAAAACATAAGTACTTTTAGATACCACATTAAGACATTTAAAATGCATCTATAATAAATAATGTAATAACAATGTCTAATGGTCTTTATTATATTTCTTCCTATTTAATAATGTCCAGAATGCCCATATTTTGAACCTCTTAGATAAAGTAACGTGTTTTTTGGGTCTAGCACAGGCTTCAGTGCCTGGAGGCTCTAGTTCTATTTCCAGCTCTGCTTTAGACTTACAGGGTGACCTTTACGCATAACCTCATTTTCCTCACCTATAAAATGGGGATATTAATACTTATTTACCTCACAGTTGGTTCCCTTCCAGCTGCTACAGTGGCTGAGCAAGCTCATGCATCTACAGAATTGCTCATGTTCATGATAAACTTCTTTTTTTCAAACAAGCAATACAGACATTACATTAAAAACTTATTTGTCTATCTAGCGAGTAAAAGTACACAGAAAAATAAAAGCAACGGAAAAACTGTTCAAAGCCCATCACTAATTTCCTTTCAATGACATTGTCCTTCAGGAGAAATGTAGGTAGTTCCTATTTAACAGCACCTGGAATAAACTTCTTGATGCTGCTTTCAGTCAAGAAAAAATTTCATGTTTTTTGAGTGAAAGTCTAACATCCTGGTCTCTCTTTGGAGTGGATACAAAAACACTGCAAGCTTTGCAAGTAAATAAAGGGGAAGAAACAATTTCAGTTTGAAGCTTCACCTAGTAATGAGAGCGGAGAGAAAGAAAGGAAAAGAGAATCCAAGAGAGACGAGAGACACAGCCATCTCTTCCTAACGGGAACGAAGCTACACAGAAGAGATACTGGCAGGCACGCCAGCCCGCGGCTGCGGGGCACCCCTGCGGCACCACCGAGGGCCGGTGCCTCCATCGGCCTGGGAGCACCTCGGCAACACTCATCTCGCTCTGGGAATGCGATACTTACTCTTGTACTGCTCTGGCTATGGAGAGCGCTGTAGATCCAGTTTCATTAACGCTATCTAAGGTCACATTTGGCAGGTCGTCATCATCACTGTCACTTTTAATTTGTCTGGGAGATAGGCCTCGGGGGTCCATTTGTGCTGGAAAGAGACATATAATGGATTAATATGAGCGTGCTGAAATTAATCTCGTCCCAGAACAACATCAGGGTGCACAACACATCTGCTCGCCCAGGCCGGATGGCACCGCTTGCGCTGAGCTGCCCAAATCAGGCGATGGATTCGCAAAGGCATTGAGCGGTGCTACAGCCAGGCGCGAGCACTTCCAGCGGCATGCAGGCGTGCGAACACACACAGGCTACACCAACGCGTTCGGCAGATCTGAAAGAAAACTGCATACGTAATATTTGTCAAAAACTCAGTTTACCCTCAAGTTACTTATTCTGGATGTCTTCAGAAAATGAAGAGAAGGCACTAGGTCCGCTTTGCACAACACGGCACACTCGAGAGTAAATTCTACAGAAAATCTTTGATTTTGACTGTCCCTCGTGAGATAGCAGGCTGGCACCCATGTCACTCCAGTCAACTAAAAGTTAAGTGTCAGAAAATCCTCAGTGGTACTGATTTCTGAGCCAATTCGTCTCAGCCTCTGAAGGAATCTTCCCTCCACATTACACGTGGCCAAGCTGCTGCAAGTAACTTCACACAGGCGACTAACTTTCCGGTGACTGATGCTGGGTAGGTTTAGGGAGATTTTTTTTGAAAAGTCGTTATCACCTCAAGTCTTAGGAGCATCCCAAGATCAAGAATTGCAGCATTGTTTCGTCCATCCACAGCTTGCAGTATCCATCCCATATGGCAGCGGGGGCTGCAGGGCGGCCCCTGTGAGGAGAGGCCGGGGCTGCCCCGTGCCGGACACGGCTGGTTCCAGCCGGCTGCAACCCACCCACCACAGGGCATGGCTCAGGCCCGCAGCTGAGACGGGGGCACCTCAGGGAAGATGTATGTAAGAAAAAGGAAAAAAAATGCCACACAGGCAGAGCGAGGAAGAAAGTGTGAGAAAAGGCCCTGTAGACACCAAAATGAGAGGGGAAGGAGGGGAGGAGGTGCTGCTCCATGATGGAACAGAGCTTCCCCGTCACCTGGAGAGACCATGGTGGAGCAGGGGAACAGCATGAGGAGGAAGGAAGAGCAGAGAGGAGCTGTTACGTACTGACCACAACTCCCATTCCCCATCCCCCTGAAAGGAGTGAAGTTGAGCCCAGGAAAAAGGGGGCAGAGGATTGGTTCTTACCATCCTAATCTGCTTTTAATTGGCACTAAATTAAATTAATTTTCCCCAAGTCAAGTCTGTTTTGCCCGTAATAGTAATTGGTGAGTGATCTCCCTGTCTTTATCTCAACCATGAGCTCTTCCACCGTATTTTCTCCCCCGTCCTACTGAGTACAGTTGCGAGAGTGGCTGGGTGGGCGTCTGGCAGCGAGACAAGATCAACCTACCAGAGTTATGTTTTGTGCCAAAAAGAGAAGGGAAAGGAAAGGAGAGCAGAAAGGTAGGCTACCCGCTTTCCCTCTTACCCTGGCTGCTGCCCTCCAAAGGGAAGTAAGCACAATTCAAGTACAGGCAGGCGGAGGAAACCAAGAGACGGGTGTTTGTGGGACTATGGGGCATTAAGTGTGACCTGGGATAGTTCCAAGGGGAGCTGTGGGTTGCTTGTGTCGGGGGACAGACCCAGAGACAAACTTCAGAGGTGACGTAAAGAAAGAGACATTCCTCCTCACCCATGAAATACTACGTAGGATTAGTAAGTGCTGAGAGACACTGAAAGTGGCTGGAGTGGAGAGGAAAACTGGAGAGATGCTTGACCCTGCAAGGGAGGAGCAGGAAGGAAAAAGACAGGCAAAGAGATTTGTATAAAAATGTGTTAATTTTGTTTGGTCAGGTGAAATAGGGGAATCCAAGATTATTTATTTAAAGAGCTAAATGTTGCAGTTTGTTAGCTTGTGCTCTCCTGTAACACAGTGTCAGAGATCGGACACTTTCTGGGTCTTGCGATGGGCTTTTCAAGAAAGGTAGCTGTCATTCCAACTCAGCTCTGGCTAACCACAGCCCTGAACAACAGGTATCACAGGCTCCCTTTAGAGATCATGAAAAGTTCAGTGGGCCTACAGCTAGACAGCAGCTCCAAAAGTCACAGTTAAATTTCCCATTTTGCCACATTTCTTGTGTTACCGTGTTCACTGACTTTAGAAAAGGGACTGAGTTACACTGAAAAATGGGAGGGCTATAGATACTCCAAGAGCGGTGCAGCCGTATCAATAGCACTGATGGATAACTGGGCTCTCAAAAAGAAAGCACTCCCCAAATGAGTGATGACTCAAGGGACAGTTGGTCTTAAATTTTAATTTATGTCTCAGCTGTGAACACCTCTGAGTAAAAGAACAGTGAGTGATCGTAACTACCCTTCAGCTGCACTTTTTTAATGTTAAAGAACTTCCTAAAGAAAATACTATTAAAATACGTTCAGTAAGCTGCTGTGCTTCCCCTTCTGGAAGCACAGTGCATTTACAGATGCACAGTATGACTTCTATTAGCTTCCACCTAGCACAAGGTAGGTGCCTCAGTCATATTGGCTATATTTGTATGGCTTATTATTCCTTTATGTATGGTAAAGAAAACACCTTTTGCTTATCAAAGACTTTTGACAATGAACAATGACCTGCATGAGACAAACATAAAGCAATTTAGAAATTGTTCAAAACATTTAATTGTTTTAGCTAGAATGAGCACCATTATGACTGTGCTTCTTAAAATCACAACTTACCCATGATGGTATTCAATTCATACCCGAGCATCAGGGATAATCTAGTATTTGATTTAAGAGCAACTGAACCACCTAGTCAGCTGATTTAGCCCCAGAAAACTATTTGGAAAAAAAGTGCTGTTTCTGAGATGTCTTGTTGCCTAGTGTTCCTTCTTAAAAGCAACTTGAAGTATGAGATTGTTATTAGTTATTTCATTACTTCTTCAGTATTTATTAAAGTGAATCTCGTTACAAGAAGTTATATGTTTGGTTCTGTCCAATATTTAAATGCTGCTATACGTGATGCTTTTGTGAAAGCTAATGTTTGCAAATAAAATTAAAATTGTAACAAAAAACAATGTATGTTTTTTATTAACAGTGGCATAATCTGGCTCACACTATAGCAAAAGTTTTAAGCAGCTGGCTCAGAAACTTTCTTAATGCTTAAACCTAAACCTAACTTGAAATCGTGAAAGTTGTTACATAATTTAGTCTGTAATACAGGTATTATACATAAATTTTGATCACTTAAGTGTGAATACACCTACATAAAAAAAGACAGTATAAAGGTATATGAAAACCTTATAAGTTCTTGTAAGACACGCTGTTTCATTATTATTGCAGATTGCCAGCTCTTAAGATGTTATTGAGACTCCTATGGTATTTGGTGGTGATTTTTAGATTACCAGAGGAATAAGGTCGGATGAAAACTCTCAATTACATTAAAACACTACCTTCTTTCTGTTTCTGCTTGGCGAGGTAAATCCTGCTCTGTATCCACAGCCATGAAGTTGCCAACGGGGTCATGCTTTTGCACCTAGGGATAACTTGGCGCACTGGGCACGGTTTGCCCCACCAGACGCCAACATTTGAGCACATCATGAGGTGCTGTGACACTTGAGCATGGTGAGAACAAAAGGCGAGGAACAAAAACATATCAGTGGGTAAACTCAAAGGCAGGAAATTCAAGGACATTTTTGTTTTATTTTTTCAGTGAACCTAACTAAAGATGGTATCTAAATTAGAGAACAATCTAGGGTTTATTCCCTTATATTTTAATGTTCGCCCACATATATATCATTTTTTATTCCCCTCTCCATTTGTGACCTCTTCTCAGCTTGCAGACTTGGGTGGCTGAGGCATTAGGGAGCCGAGGCAACTAACCAGGAGGCTGAACTTCACCGTTACCAGCTGGTGTTAACTGCCCTGTTTTCTCATCAGCATGGCTGCAGCTGCTGCAGAGAAAAACAGCCTTTAAAGCTACTCTCCTCCCCCACATGAGCCATGTGAATAACCAGCTGGCCAAAAGCCTAACAGATACCTCCTCCTCACCACTCACTACAGTGTGAAAACTGCAGTACACGATTTTTATACATTCAGAGTTCATGACTCTTATGTCAACAGCTCTGACTTTCTCTTGGACATCTAAGAACAACTGTCGAACTGCTGGCACCAAGGTTTATAAATACCAGCCGCAGCTCATAAACACTGAATTAAGAGTAATTACTGGCCTAATGAACATCAAACAGGAAAGAATGAAGAGATTCAGGCAAGAGATAATTTAGCAAATGAGATGAAAAAGGTGGAGGACAAGTGAGTAATGGAATGCAACTGGCAAGCAAGGTGGAGGAGAGCCCACAAAACACGCCAGTGCATTTTAACCTCCTTTCGTGCTGTACCTTGCTCTGACGACCAAGCTTTTTCTTTGAACTTAGGATCATGGGTCCAGAAGGGACCCAGCTGGGTCACTGAATCGAGTCGTCCCTATCATAGGCAGATACATTTAATTAATAAAGCTCAGGCCCTAAAAATGAGCTGGTTTTCTTGCCCTTGACACTCCTCTTGAAAGGCAAGATTTGTCTGACAGAGCTATCTGGTGGTTTTGTGAACTGTCAATGAGGCTAAGGCGAGGCAAGCAAAAAGAAACAAGTCAGAGACTGCTTTCGTGGGACAAAGGTGTCATTGAAAGTGTGCACAGGAGCTACAGAAGCAAGCTGTTTGCACTCCATGCTGAAAAGACTGGCGAGCCAAGGGAGTTATTTAAGAAAGTCTGCCAGTGCTGAAGGCACATCGCTTTCGATCCTTGTTAGACTCAAAAAACAATTATCCTTTTTGCTAAAGAAAGTACAGAGAATTGCTCTTGATGCATGTACATATATGCAATCACTTCTCAATGGCCCCTTTGCGAAACTGTACCAAAAAGCAGTTTCCCTTTGGGCAGTAGCAGCGAATTCACACTCTGCGCTTGTTTTAAGGTACAATGTGCAAATGGGTCTCACATAAGGCACATACCAGCCTGTAAATACTCCAGAACTTGGTCTACCATAATTAATATTGT